TTTTCTTACTGTTTATAAATTATAATTTTGTTTTATAATATATATATATATATATATATATATATATATATATATATACTTTATGCATATGCTACTTTTTAAAGGTGCAGTGTGCCACTAGGAGCACCAAAAACAATTTCTGTTTCCCAAACACAAAATTCTTCATCCACACTCTATTTAATCTAATTTCTGTTTTGGGGTTATTAAGTTACATTGCTTTTGTGTTTTTTCTTTCCTGTGAGCTGAAACAAGTTTCCAGTTTATTCCTTTAAAAACTTTACATGTGATTAATTTCAACTTAATTCTATCAAAGTTTGCTCTTGTATTTCCATTTGTAGCAGTGCTGAAGGCCAAACGGGGGCACATTTTGTGATGATCATAAATGGTTGCGCTTAGGGGACAATTGAGGGGATATATGAGGTAGTCATGTGGTGTGTTTGGAGTAGAGAAGCTCTGTTTTATTTGATTTACAGTAACTCCAGGAATAAGCACTACAAACATTTCAAGAACACAGTGACGTATATCAGAGTGGCTCTGCGCTACTGAGAATATCAGGGTTAAAACATGACTAATATAAAAACAAAACCATCTGTGTGTGTTGATCGAATAACTGGTTAGGCTAGATTGAGTACCATAGTCTGGGGTAAGAGTGTTTATTTTGGATTGTTACTGCATTGACTTGGGAAGTGAGAACTTGCGCAACTTCTTTAGGATGGTGTTTTTAAAGTACAGTAACAATAGAGGAACAAACTAAGAAGGATAGAGAAAGAGAAAACACATTTTCCTAAAGCCTAAAGTGTACTTAGTTTTTTTTTACGCACACGCTAGGCTATGACAAGACATTTGTCACATAAACGTCGTCATTGCTGTAGCAGACCCTCAGAAGTATTCACATTCGCCTGTGTGTTTCGTCCACTTGAGTATTCCAGACTCACCATCCCCCCAGATTATCCCACTGTTCCCAAATATTCGACATGCCCTAGATTTATCATGCCTTTCCTTGTTCCTACCTTTAAGCGGACCTGCTCATAAAGAGCAATGGGCCGGTTGCTGAAAGTGATGGCATTGCAGAAGCTGGCCTGCCGTTTGACGCTCCTTTGTGCTAGATCCATGACTATCTGAGAGCCCTTAGCGTTGGGGTGGAAGAGAAGGGGGTTCACGGGAACACCTCCACACAGATGCAAGGGTAAACAGCGTTTGGGTTTGTGGTGGCATCGGTGAGCTGTTGAGGGGAACGGTCCACCCAGAGAGTCTAGGAGAGAGAAAGAAAGACTTGGTTTGTAAACCATGGTTTGCCAATAAAAAACGAGTACAAACAATAATTTTAAGTAATATACAAATACATAATGTTGTGGAAATAAGTCTTCTCTCAGCTATAATCGTGTTTAAAACCTTAGCTCAATATGACTAAGCCTGGCCTTTACTTTCAAATCAATGAACCGCATAAAACAGCATCAGCCCTTGCATGGTGAGATTTGTCTGACCCCATTTCACGCAGCACTTGAGTACAGCATTTTTATTGGACAAAGTGATTTTTAGCTTTGTAGATAAATCTGATTCACTTTTCCCAACAGGCCGCACTGAACTGCACAATTTCAGTACTGAAGCACAAAATTCTTCAGCTTTTTCATAGAGCATTTCATTATTGTGATTTGTTTACGAATCAGACAGTATGTTGCACTGCAGATTTGTCTTTGCTTGTAATCATGTAATGGAAAATTGGGTTGACTGATTGTCAATGTGTTAATTTGCAACAGCCAGTCGTTTTCTCACTTACAAGCTCACAACTTTATTATTAGTATTATAATTATTATTTACTCTCCCCTCCTGAATAAAGGTGCAGGAAAAACAAGCAGGCTAATCTAGGCCTTACACTTTACAGTGCACATATGCAACAGGAAAGATCTTAATGTCATACTATTTATCAATCATATAACCTTATATCTTGTCTTTTTATTCACTTTGTGTTTTGGGCAAGACTACCCAAGTCCAACTGTTAACACTAACCACTGGGTTGTGCATTTCATATGCACACAGTAACATTATTGGACTATGCAGGTGTGGCCAGAGTTTTGAGAAGGTGAACATCCATGTTAGAGGCACAGTAATGATTGGGAATGCGTTCAGTTGGGACAATGTCATCCATGAGGGGTATGGCTATCCTCTCTGCGTTCATTCATGTCCAACATTCACCCAGTTGGCAAGGGGCTCCTTTAACAAGATAACACACCCTCACAGATCTGTAATGGCACAGTTGGAGGAGCATTGATGTGCTCTCAGCTATTGTGGTCCCTTGTAGAAACTGATAGTGGGCAATGACATGTTTCCTGAGCAATGCAGATAAGGCTACATGTCACAAGAGAAGAGAATAAAGACTGAATGTTTTTTCTATATCTGGCAACCTCAGGCTCATGCAAATGCCCTATGTGAAACTATCATATAACAAAATATAGTATTATAAAATCATTAATATGCCTCAGGTGCCTTTTCAGCCTTGTAAGTTGCATATATGTGTCTGTAAGTGTGTGTGTGTGTGTGTGTGTGTTGGCAAGTTAGCAGACAGACATTGTGTGTAACACTCATAGTCTGAGTACACTGAAATGAATACATTAGCAAACACAAGAGCTGCAGCTGTCAGACAGAAAATGGAGGTTAAGTAGCAGCGCATGTTCCTTAGCAACGCTGCCATGGTGAGAGCTTTCCATTTTCTGCTGATCTGAGTTCAGTGTCTGTGCTTTCTCTTAGTCCGTCTGCACAGGGAAAGACGATTCCAGATCGGTATAATCCGATAAATGTCTTTAAAAAAAAATCAGTAAATGCTGTTTTTTTAACTAAACTGGGTTTGAGGTGGAAAAGAGACATTGTACGTATTATTGGAACAAGTTATGGTACAGCGTAAACAATGTTAAATGTCCCGTCAACAACTTAGGTTCATTATTCGAAATAATTCAATTATAATTTAATTAAAATCAACATGAAACCTTATTGTCTTTCTTAATGGTGTTCCTGCTCTTATTGCAAACGATTCATAATAATTAAATTATAATTTAAATTAGAGTGAAATCATAAATGAACCTATTGTTTTTTTTGAATAATGTTCCTGGTCATTTTGTGAACGATTCATTGCTGCACGTTATTCCAAAGAAAAGGCTATAGGTATTGATTTAGTATTAAGTATATTAAGACATATTAAGTCTGGCTCCATTATAATGTAACACCCACTTTTTATAATTAAATAATAAAAAAGTTAAATTAATTAATTTCCTGATAGATAAAATCAAGTCCCACCCCACATTTTTCCCCATTAAAAATTAGCAAAATCTGTTGTAAACAGCAGTTCGCATCGACTTTAATAACTTTCCGTTGTCATACAAAATTTTATTATATAAGATACACACAAGTCTAATATAACAGCTCAGGACATGCAGAGACACAAACGTGGATTGTAAGTAATAGAAGCCAATGACATAGTCTCCCAAAACACAAGGAGCAGATTCCACCCTGGGCTACCGAACACATCATAATGCAGCTATTTCTATGGTAACCACATTATTTTTTAAGGTAACCAATGGACAGAAAATGATTCTTATATAAGTTCATCCCATAAAGAACAGTCTGGGGGGTCTGAGTCAACACACTTGAGCATATGAATAATCATTACATGGAATTAACTCATGTGGATTTGGTTTCCTAACCTACAGTACCCTGCAGTCGACCACTGAATACTTTTTAAAAATTATAAATATTATTTATAATAATTTAAATAAGAATTGTAGTAATACTTTGTAATACAAATTTATTAAATATATATATATATATATATATATATATACAGTGGGTACGGAAAGTATTCAGACCCCCTTAAATTTTTCACTCTTTGTTATATTGCAGCCATTTGCTAAAATCATTTCCAATACAGTCCCAACAGTGAAGCATGGTGGTGGCGGCATCATGCTGTGGGGGTGTTTTTCAGCTGCAGGGACAGGACGACTGGTTGCAATCGAGGGAAAGATGAATGTGGCCAAGTACAGGGATATCCTGGACGAAAACCTTCTCGAGTGCTCAGGACCTCAGACTGGGCTGAAGGTTTACCTTCCAACAAGACAATGACCCTAAGCACACAGCTAAAATAATGAAGGAGTGGCTTCACAACAACTCTGTGACTGTTCTTGAATGGCCCAGCCAGAGCCCTGACTTAAACCCAATTGAGCATCTCTGGAGAGACCTAAAAATGGCTGTCCACCAACGTTTACTATCCAACCTGACAGAACTGGAGAGGCTCTGCAAGGAGGAATGGCAGAGGATCCCTAAATCCAGGTGTGAAAAACTTGTTGCCTCTTTCCCAAAAAGACTCATGGCTGTATTAGTTCAAAAGGGTGCTTCTACTAAATACTGAGCAAAGGGTCTGAATACTTAGGACCATGTGATATTTCAGTTTTTCTTTTTTAATAAATCTGCATAAATGTCAACAATTCTGTGTTTTTCTGTCAATATGGGGTGCTGTGTGTACATTAATGAGGAAAAAAAATTAACTTAAATGATTTTAGCAAATGGCTGCAATATAACAAAGAGTGAAAAATTTAAGGGGGTCTGAATACTTTCCGTACCCACTGTATATATATATATAATATTTTAACTCTCGTTACCCAGTACAACACTGAATAATAAATGTTTCTTGAACAGCAAATCAGCACATTAGACTGATTTCTGAAGGATCATGCTGAAAATTCAGAATGATGCTAAAAATTCAGCTTTGCATCACATGAATAAATTACATTTTAAAATATATTAAAATATAAAACAGTTATTTTAAATTGTAATATTATTTCACAATATTACTGATTTTACAGTATTTTTGACTAAATAAATGCAGCCTTAGTGAGTATGAGATACTTCTCTTTTTTTTTATTAAGGAGGACCTTCACATGCTAAGGTCAGGTTCAAATTCTCTGTGTGGACTGTAGGTCAGAGAATGTCGTGTTATGTGTAAACCCCTCACATCACACACACTCTCACACGCTCAATGTTAAAATAAAACTGCTTGGTCAGCAGCACTCCTGAACTGTTTTCACAACAGAACATCCCGAGGCTGACTTTTTGCGGTTTCATTTGCTGAATATACATAAAGTCTACAGTCAAATATATTCGACAAACAGACAATATATGTTTTGTTTCATCTGTTTAACAGCTGCAAAAGACAGGAAAATAGTTTTAGATGTGCCTTTAAAGGTGATGTGTGTTCTTTTTCAGTGTTAAAATACACTCCTGTCCTAGCGTAATGCATTTGTAGTGTGTATTCTCTGGGAAAGTTTCAGGCTCAACAAGCCACATCAGGTCATATGCAAATGATATCATTATTTGCACAATCATTTGCTAAGGTAATTTCTTCTTATTATTATTTTTACATTGTAAAGGTTCACAACAGGGAAACAGCAGGTTGTCATATCTCATTGAGTTTTGAGTACGTTTTAGATGTCATAAATATTTTCAATAAATTAAAATAATTTTAAATAAGAAATGTATTTTATGTTTAATTATGTCAAGCATTGACCTTCTCTCTAAACAGTTATCTAGGAATTAGCTTTTAATTTGCTCTGTTGGTAATCACATTAACTGTTCTACTGTAAGTACATGTCCCCTGATACTCAATATAGCCTTATTAGTAAAGTTGTTTTAGGTATCAGACACCAGAATGTAAATAATCTACTTGAGAATCTGTTTTTCCTGAATCATTAAACAGTTAGATTTCATTAACTCATGTAAAAGATTATCCGAAAACCTTTGCTGTATTGCAAATACTGTAAATATTGTTGCAAACCAGACCTTTTGCTTAAATGTTTAAATAAAAGTAATTATACAAAATGGGAACATAAGTGTGAGATCACTTGAAACTGGCATCTTAAGAAGCCATGTACAGGTACTTGGCAACTATTCAATGCTTCTAATCCATCCATCGAGGTGAGGGGCATGTCATGTGACCACAACACGTGAGAGTAGTAGCAAGCTTGGCTAAAGATTCATATGCTAATATGTTTAGTTATTCTGGTTAAAAACAACAAGAATAACAGAGAGTGTTTCACCTTGCAGAGCAAACACCCTCTGGTCTCCACTTTACACAAAACCCTCGTTCAAGTGTCGTCACACACTTCAACTCAGAAAACACACGCTGGCACTTATCAACATCAACACTAGAAGAATACATTAATGTCTGTTCGTTTATTCCCAGCTCAGAACATTATTAGCCTTAAATTGCACAAGTAGATCTAACTTTTTTATTTGTTTTATATATAGGGTTTTTGAAAGACGTCTTATTGTTTATTTGATCAAAAATACAGTATGAACAGTAATATTGTGCAACATTATTGTAATTTAAGTAACTGTTTTCTATTTGAATATATTGTAAAATGTAATCAATTTAAGCAGCCATTACAGTCTTCAGTACCGCATGATCTTTCAGAAATCATTGTGATATTCTGACTATTAGCCTATTTGAAATGGAAAACTTTTGAAACATTGTAAATTTTTTACTGTCACTTTTAATCCATTTAATTGCATCTTTGCTTAATAAAATGCATTTCTTACTTACCCCAAACTTTTAAATGCTAGTGTATCATGGCTTCCATAAAGATATTAAGCAGCACAGCTATTTTCAACATTGATAATAATAATAATAATAATAATAATAATAAATGTTCCTTGAGCACCAAATCAGCATATTAGAATGATTTCTGCAGGATCATGTGACACTGAAGACACAATTGATGACATTTTCGATTACAAAAATGCCCACACTTGTATTTTTCTGTGTATGTGTGCATGTCTGTGTTTGTAATTGTGTTCTGAAGCCAATTAGCAACTATCTGATCATAAGGCAATAAAGTATGGTAAATGCATGCAGAACATATTAAGTGCTGGTCTTCTGCCATGGCTGGCTTGCTCCTAGGTGATCTGATCCGTACATAAACACCAGTGTGTGGCGGAGTCATTTCTGCGGTGAGAGAGAGTATTAAATGACTCATCAATGATGTTGTGCTCCGCAGAGGTGCAGCGGATGGTTACTTAGCAGCATCAGCACCTGACCTGCAGACATGTGTTTCTGTCACGACATAGAAACTGAGCGATGTAACCACAGCAGGGCATTGCAGATAAATGCACTTCCTCTGTTTGCCTTTCAATAATCTGTCTGTCACCGCAGCGCATTGACTCCGTGTCTGCGTGTCAACCAATCACTGATAATCAATCCCAACATGCCCCATTAAAAATTCCTCTCCAAACAAACTCCAGTGCTAACAGTTTCCTCATGTTGTTTGCGCATGGCTGTCTTAATGTGAATTCAACGAAATAACACCATGGTAATTGATTCAGTAATTTCAATACTTTTCATGCTGTTATATACAAATTAGCAGCAAATAACTGATTCAACACTGATGTTTAGAGGGGAACTGATTAAGAATTAGAGATGCTCAATATATTGGTACCAAATTGGTAATTAGCCAAAATTAGTTTTAATTTATTGCACTGGTCAATATTGGATATATATTGGCAAGTGTTGGATATTTAATTATGCATGTGCATTTCTTACCTTTCATACCTTTGCTGTCATCTCGCTTAGTTATTCTTTACAGACATTTAATAACACTGTAAATGTAATCTTTGAGTCAGATAAATAGCAAATCTCCAAATGAATTTCCATTTTTTCATATTGTACATTAAAATGTTGTGATGCTCACTTTTAGTTTTAGAGATTTAGTTTTATCAGTACCAGGTAGGATTTTTATATCAGTGCAAAAATTAATTGCACCGTCTGATAACGCCATTCATTGCACAAAATGTATTATGTACACTTATGCAAATCAGATTTGGTGCAAAAAAAAAATAGAGAGAGAATTTGTATATGCAAAAACACATGGAAGCAAACTGACTATTTGCATTTAACTTTCCATTTGCACTCATATTTTCAGTTTAAGGTGGAGAGTTGATTCTGGTTTTGGTCTAGTGACAGTGGGAAATATCTGGAACTGTCGTAATGTTCCGTTTTTACCAGCCTTTCTACTTAAAAATTACTTATTATTCATCTCTTGTGTTCCAGAGGTGCATGAGAAACACCCAATTGCCTTAAATACACACACACACACACACACACACACACACACACACACACACACACACAAACAAACACAAATGAGTATATCAGTATATCGTTGCTCAGATGAAATGTGCCTCTGGGTCAGGGTTCTACAATGGGAGGATAACTCAAACTGCACCATGTCATAATCCATTACAGACTGTTATTGGCTGTGCAGTAAATTGTACAATAACAGCAGGCCCATCGAGTGACGTGAGGCAGTGATAGTGCAGGCCTGTGATGGACTCTCCAGTACGCACTGCAGGCTCATTTTATTAAAGCAGATCTTATAATGGATCTCATGTTCATCTCTCTTGTGCGAGAGGTGCATGAGAAACACCCACTAGCCTCAAATACACACACACACACACACACACACACACACACACACACACACACACACACACAAACAAACAAACACAAGTGAGTATATCCAGCTCAAACACTACAAACCAGACAATCTTGATCTCAGTTCTGGATCTGTTTTTCTGCAAAGATCATATAAACCACTGTAATTTAAAGTATGTGAGGTGAAAGATGCATGCGTATCCGGATAAGCAATTTATATCCACTGTCAGCCTGCTGCAAGAACTAAAAAACTCCCTCAGAAATGGGAACTGGAAGGTGAGACTAGAATGTTATGCGCTAAATCATTTGTTCTCATGGTACATTTTTTATTAATTTTTTGATTAAATGAAGATAAACTTAAAGGGGTCATATGATGTTGCTAAAAATAACATTATTTTGTGTATTTGGTGTAATGAAATGTGTTCAAAAACACATTATTTTCCACATACTGTACATTATTGTTTCTCCTCTATACCCCGCCTTTCTGAAAAGCATTGATTTTTACAAAGCTCATCGGTCTGAAAATGGAATGAAAAAAATAGATTTTCCAACAAGTGCACTTTTTACTAGCACCAGGTGCTACTACACATTCGGGACTGTTATAGCTCTAGTCCCGGTTTACCTAATTGGATGTGATGTAGTGCTTTAATTAGAATTAATGATCAAGTGGATCAGATCCACCAAGGGTTCAGATTAACTCCAGGCCAATCAGCTGCACTCAGAGCCAGAGTAAAACGGAGAGATTTGCATAAACCAACTGCTTGTGTTTGTTTCAGTTACAGTCACCCTTCCAACACTGAAGATTATTCTCCCATTCACCCTGCAGGCCCACGGAAAACATCCAGTCACCAGATCAACTCCTGACATTTAAATCATATTGAATCTACATACGCACCACCATATATTTATCTTTGCCATGATTTGATATAGTAACTACTGCTTAATTGGATAAATATACTAATCAGTATTGTAATTCTAAGTTCTAGCATCTAATGAATAGTTAGTAGTGAAATTCAAGAAGATACAGTCACTAGTGGATTACTAAAAAAGCACTGACATTAAAAAAATAGATAGCCTACTTGCAAGTTTAGCAAGGAATACATGTTAGAACGACGTGCCAAAACCAATAGCAGCACAACAGTCTGAACATGAATTTCAGGACATATCAGTATCAGCGACTGTGCGTAACCAACAACCGTGTATTTTATGTAGAACTAATCAATTGATTTATTTGGTTCTTTTAAACCAGCTGCTTCACGGGCTTGTTGGTAATAAAAATGAAAGGCTGTGGAAAACCCGCAGTAAATCCTTATTCCCAACAACAGAGGGAATCCCCACAAATTCCCTTCCCTTTCTCACGCGCTCAAGCTGCTGTGGGGGAAACACGTCTCCTGTCGTTCACTGACACAAGCGCCTGGACGCGGAGACGCGCTCGTGTAGTCGTTCCTTGGAGCGCAAAATCTCCAGAAACCCACACAAAAGCCATCTACATGAAGTCTATGACTTGTGCTCGATTGTGTTTTTTTGCTGCAAGTATTCCAATACCTATGTGATATTTAGAGGCAAACGTTTTCTATCTAAATTCTCATATCTGTCTATTCTTTACAGTACAGCTGAAGCAGCGCGTATCGGAGCCTTCATCAGCAGGCAAACATAATGAACATCATTCAGCGGTTGCATGTAGATCCTTAACGCAGTTCCTCACCGTACAAGGCGTTTCGGGTTATCTGGCCTCCCATGACTCAACGCCGGGTCACTGTTTTGCGCTGGCCGCCTTTATTTCTCAAAGGTTGCGAGTGCGATAATTCCACACCGACATAATTCTGGAGGAAAATATCTCTCGGCCCCCGAAACGAGATGTAAACAGTCGGACACTTCTCCTGTCTCGGTGCTCATTGACTGAGCGCGCGGACACCAGCGCCACACTGACTCATTTACATAGAAGGCGGAGTCTGAGAGCGCTTCACTGGGTGCCACGCCCCTCAACTACAGGCAGTGTCTCTCAGATCATTCCGAGACCCACGCAGACCTATAAAATATTCAGGAACTCAAAAGAAAACAAAACCCATTCTGTAACATGACTAACCTGATATACACACACACACACACACACACACACACACACACACACACATTCCATAAGCGTAATGGTTTGTATACTGTACAAACTGTATGTGCTATTTACCCTACACCTAAACCTACCCCTTACAGGAAACTTTGTGCATTTTTACTTTCTCAAAAAAACTCATTCTGTATGATTTATAAGCTTGTTTCCTCATGGGGACCTAAAAAATGTCCCCACAAGGTCAAAATTCACTAGTATTACTATCCTTGTGGGGACATTTGGTCCCCATGACATGATAAATACCAGGCACACACACACACACACACACACACAGCTATTGGAACTGTAAGTCCTAGAAACTAATAAATATTAGCACAATTCAAGAAGATTTTTAAATATTCATTAATTATTTTGTTTTACCACATAGGCGCAAGGTATATAATATAAACACATGATAATACATTAATTATTATAAACAAACAGACATCCCTATATTTCATGACATACTTCAGTTTTCAAGGTCAAAGTTCAAAGGGAGAGGTGAGTTTTATAACACAGAAGTTAATTATATATAATTAATAAAATGCATTATAATTATTAGATGTTCTTGCCGCTTGTGTTACATCCCTTGCTTTGTTAATGAAATATGGTATGACATAATAAATAAAAGTATATTTATTATATTACCAGTATATGGCAGGTGTGTTCTCAGGTATTTTAAAAAAACACTATCGTGAACTAAAATGCCCTTTTAGGTGTCAGGAGGATGTGGTTGACCTACAACAATATCTCAAGAGGAAGTACAGCTTTCAATTTGAAGAAAAGAGGAAGTGCCAAAAGAGGAATATTTTTTTAGCAAACAACAATTGCAAAACACGGGACAATTATGTTTATAATCACTTTTCTGTCATGTTTTTGAGATATAGTGAAACTCCAAACAAAATCTATATGGCCAACCCACTCTACATCTCAGCAGAATGACTAAATTAGTCTGTTAAAGACCCCACTACTCTAGAGGAGGCTGCATTTTCCTTTCCTCCCTGACTTTCTTGGAATATTGTTCTGTTCTTCTGTGACCCTTAAGAATTATTATGACCTGTTAATGTCATCTCGGGGCAATCTACTTATCTGCACTGATCTGGGACTAGGTCCTGCTAACCCATATTTTAACCTCATCCACTTCAAGAAACATGTCTTCAGCGTCTAAAACAGTTCAAAGGGTGGTTAATTCATTACACTTTAGAATTGACGTGGCAGAATTTAATTTATGTTTCATAAAGATATAAATATAAGTCAGTTAATAAAATAAAGAGCTGGAGAGTTATGTTGTTACTAGTTAATAAAAAAAGTGATTAAAAAAGGGCAGGGAGGACATAAACTCAATTAAACTAATTCTCACTATTGCCTCTCTGATTACGGGGAAAACATTATCCACTAAAATCACGTTAGCAATAATATTTACTTTTTTGAGTTCCCCTTTTTTAACAATTGGAATTTTGAAGGGAACCATAACAAACCACAGGCCTTCGCTCCAGAACACCACCACTTTGATCAAAATGAAATCATCGCTTACTCCACAACGATGGGCTGATTGGTGCTCTCTTGCTCACACATGGTGCACACATTTTTGGGAGCCCATGCCCGAAATGCACAAGCACTAGTGCTACTTTTGTGTTCAGGAATAAGGGATTGTCATACGACTTTCATTAGCACCGCTATGAATGATGAATCGATATCCTTTTACAATACATGACGACTTGAAATTAATAGTTCTCTTACAAAACCTCCTCTGAGAAATATGTTTGCCATTTAGTGGTTTTTGGATTGTTTTTATTGTGAGGTAATAAAAGATCATGATGTTGATTATTTTCATCAGGTTGATTACATTTTTTGTCAAGATAAACACACACACACACACACATATGTATATATATATATATATATATATATATATATATATATATATA